AGGGTGGGATTGCTGTGCTGATGGCGAGGGGAGAGAGGTCGAGGGGCCTGCACTGCGGCGGCAAATGTCGAGGCCGGTGCATACGTGGAAGTGGTAGCAGGTTGAGAGCCGAGGCTGCTGGTGGAAGGTCCAACAGACGTGGAGGCAACAACTGCAACCAACTGTGACGGCGTAGCGAGGTAGTAGGGTAGAGGGGGGGGAGCCGGTCGAGGGAAACGAGCCGGCAAGACAGAGGTGGGAGGGGCAGTATAAGAAGAAGAAGGGTGAGCAACCTGTGAAGGGTGAGGCTGTCTCAGGGGGAATCTCCGCCTGGAGCTGCGCCACGGTGACCTGTAGGGTAGCCACCCGCTGGGTGCGCGGCGTTGGAGGTGGAGAGGGTGGAGAGAGTACCCTAGTGGGAGGAGGAAGAACTCCGGGCCGTAGTGCCGCGACCGGTGCAGGAAGTTGGGAAGCAACACCGAGGTGGGTAGATAAACTGCCTGGCCAGATATCGGTATCTAGGCGACAGCACATGCGGCAATGGCCGAAGCCGCAGGGGCGGTGGGGGCGGCGACAACCAATGGATGTGCCGCAACAAACGGTATGGTCTGAGCGGCAGCAACACTCACCACTGCGGAGGGGGAGTGTTGGGCCTGACCCGCGGAGGAGGACGAACCACCATGTCTCCGTCCCTGGAGTCGTGGAGAGTCGGACTCCAACCGGTAGGCGATGGAGTCTGAGGGCGGTGGGGAGAGCGATGAGGAGAACCCTTGAGGTGGTGAACTTCAAGGGCAAGCGCATTGACTTGTCTCTCCAGGGGTGCAAGCGCATTGATTCGGGCTTGCAGAGGTGCAAGGAGAGACGCAAGAACAGCGCGCGAATCCGATCGAGGGAAGAGGAGCTGTTCGGGTCCAGGGTGCCCGACGCAGGGAGGCAGGGGGAGTAAGGGGGTTAGGAGAACCTTAAACCCTAGAAAAACCCTAAAAAAACCCTTACCGAGGTTCGGGTAGTTAGGGAAGGGTAGCGGCGACCTAATCAAGAAAAGAAAATAATAACCATGGAGGGGAGGGGGAGAGAAAATAAAATAAACAGTGAAATTTCGAGATAAAAATAAAAGAAATTAAATAATAAAAATAAATAAATAAATAAATAAATAAAATGTGAAAAGAGAAGTGATATTTATTTTCTTAAAATTTTCGGCAGCATTTCCTTACCCCCCATGGGGTCAAGAATGTGCCAAGAGGAAGGAGAGACCAAAAGAACACTAAGTTTTACAATGCCGCAAATGATCATTTTCAGAAAAATAAATAAATAAATAAGTAGATGAGGGGGTGAAGAGAAACTAAGTGTTGTTTTTTTTCAAAAATTTTGGCAGCATTTCGTTACCCCCATGGGGTCGAAGTGTGCCGTCAAGAAGAAAAACTAAGTAAAATTAGAAAACTTTTGCCAGCACTTCGCTACCCCCAAGGGGTCAAAATGTGCTGAAAAAGACTAAGTAAAAAAAAAAACCAGAAAATTTTGGCAGCACTCCGTTACCCCCACGGGGTCAAAATGTGTGCCGAAAGCAAGAATGACGAACTCCTAATCAGATTTGAGGGTGCTGCAAAGAAATGCGAATTTTCAGAAAAAAAAAAAATAAATAAATAAAAAATAAAAAATGAGAAAAGAAGGTGGGAAATAAGATAATTCGATTTTTTTTTTGGAAAAAGGAGGAAATATAAATCAAAAGAAAGATAAATCGAAGCGTGGGCGCGTGGCGTGCGCACACAAGTGCGGCGGCCTTGGCCTTGGCGCTTCCGCGCATGTGTCGTGACGACAGCTCCCTTTTTTCACCACGTGTCAGCCTCTGCATGCTCCCGTTGTTTTGCTGTTTTCGCCCTGCAAAACCCTGAAAATCCCGCTATCGGGATTACACCGATTTCTCCCTGTTACGGGGGGGTGGGCAGGTTGGAGCAGGGACCGTTCCCGCTCTGCTACCAGTGTGCCAGACCCGCCGGGATGGCGGTCCGTCAGGATGGAGAAGAAGGGTTAACAAAGAAGGAGGTAGAGATGGAGCTGGAAGGGACAGCGCAGCTCCGACGCGGACTCAACACGCACGTACTCCAAAAGTGCAGAATGAAGAATGATCTGAAAAACAGACAACAGCTGGGGTATACCCCCAGCGGACTGACTGGACTGAACTGGACTGGCCTGGTACCGATAGTGGTATAGGGCAGGACTGGACTGGACTGGAACAGCACACGGCCTGTGGGGTCAGGCCACGGCCTGGTCCCACAGGCCGAACTGGCAAATAGCCAAATAGGCCCTGGCTGTAGGCCAGGGCAGATGGAGGCCCGCTGCATTGGGGGAAGCCAAGACTCTGTAACCATGTGAAGTGTATGCCGTGTATGTGTGTGTTGCAATCCCAATTCTGTAACCTGTGTATGCCTGTTTTCTGTGTTGTCCGAAGAGTAAACTGATCTTGGTGAGCATGAGTAGCTTGTTGTGTGCTGAAATACCTGACTATAGTGTGCTAGATGGGTGCAGAGTGGATGCTGCCTGCCGCACTTGGCTGCAGTAGTTTCTTGCTGCTATCATTTCTGTTGTTCTCCCGCTTGATGGTTGCCATTGGTTTGTTCCTTCTCCTCTCTTTCTGTGTGTGTTTCCAGTGGGGCGGACTCCAACTTTGCTGCTCCTCGTTGCTCATCTGTCGATCCTGCTTCCATATTCCACAAGGGGGATCCTTGCTTGGCCGGCAAGCCGCAGGGGTGCTGCTCCTCTCAATTTTTCGCACCACAAACCATCGGGAGACTCCTCAGACTATTGAACAGACCTCCAGGGCACTATTAGCAGGCTCTACTCTGTGCGTGTAGCACCACCCAGGATCCTAACCCCTCGTAAGGGAGGCAGGGGTCACCATTCCCGCCACCAGTCAGGGGGGGGTATCTCAACTGGTCAACCCCAAATGCACCACAGGGGGCCGTGGGGAATCAAACGGACGACGTGGGGAATCGAACCCAGGACCTCCTGAATGCCACATTTGTGCTCTACCAACTGAGCTAGGCCGCAGGGCTGTCTCTTCTCTCTCCTATCTATTCTGCCATGCTCTTCTATGATGGTTCCCTACTTCCGAAAAGTGCAATCAATTGTGATATGAACTTTTAATCGTCTTTGGAGACTTCATATGGAGCGCTGATTTCAGACTTGGGTGGCACTGCTGATGGGCTTTTCAACGGGATTGGCCTGAGTGGGTTCATTGCGCAGGTCATTCCATAGCAGTATTAACCACTACTAAGTCTATTCGAGACTTTGGCCATCTATCAGGCTCGCGATTTCTGACACAAGAGTACAATATGAAACAATATATTTTCCATCTTTCTACTTCCGTGATTGACATGTTTAGCCCAGTCTAGTGGACGAACCCAAACAACTGTGTGTCCGGGACGGACTCCTGAGCCCTTTGTCTCCAGGTTCTACTTCCGAGGCCTATAATGCCAGGTCAACTTTGAACTTGCGAATCTTCTGTTGCTGGATATGATTACCATTATATTATTGAATTTGTTATATCATATTACGATTCAGTCTGTGCAATGCATTTGAGTTCTCGTCAAATTCACCTCTTATTCTTCTGACAATAGCTATAGAAATTACAGCCATTCCTTCCCCATACCACCCCGCCTCCCATCCCCCTCTTTTTTTTTTGTTTTTTTGTTGGAAATATCAATGTCGGGTGTGGAGAGGGGGGGGGGGTGCTGATAAGAGCAGACATCCCCTCTACTGTTCCCGCTTATGGATGGCTCTGTCCCATTGGTGGGGAGCTGCACCTGCTGGAAAACGGGTCCGGCATCCCTTCACAGGTTTCTCATAGAGCCCAAGTTACCGACTTTACAGACCTTACAAACAGTTATGCAATGCTGGGTGCAGTTGTGCAATATTATATGCAGACTTCACATGGTTTGATAATCTACTTTTTGCGTTTTCTGGCAGTTGCACATTGTGGAGGTTCTTGCAGACGTAAGGACCGCCTTGACTCTCATATGAGATTGAACCATAAGCCGCCCTGGGCAAAGTAACTAGTTGAAGTAGGACATTCTCCTTACTGCTATCCATTCCTTGTCAGTAGTCATCTCCATCCTTCAGGAATTTTCTCTATCATATTGTATGCAGTTTGCTGTACGTTGTGGACACCTCTCATGGAATCCGGCATCTCCTTTTGTGTCATCCTTCTCTCTCTGTGCTGTCAAATGTGGTTCATCTGTGGATACGGATTATGAATGGAAGATCCACCATGGACTGATGGCGTACTTTTTGTCATGTGGTTGTGATAAGCCGCAAGTGGGTGTCTGCGGAGTGTGTTGCAGTCCCTCGTTCCCTGCATTGGCCTCCCTTTGTGGGCCAGTGTTGTGGAGGCCAGTCCTGGTCTTTTTGGGTGTGGGTTTTGGGAAGCAAAGTCATGCAGCTTTCCTTCCTTTCCTTTTTTTCCTTTTTTTCTTTTTCTAAGCAACACATGGCTCTGCTACAGGGGGTGGTATGAGCATCCTCCAGTAGCATCAGGCCGCCAATGGCTCCTGTCTATTGGTGGGGAGCAGCACCTGCTGGAATCCGGGTCCAGCATCCCAAATTTACAAGTCAGAAAGATTACTGGGCCATTACTTGGCTCTGGCTCAAGATAAACACCACTTCAAAGTTCAAACTTCAAAGTCATATAGCTTTTCTTCTTAAGAGTCTCTGAAAAAGCCGAAAAGTTTTTCATAGTCATTTGAGAATGTTCTCAATCTGAAAAATGAATCCAAAAATTTTGAATATCGTAGTCGAAGAATTTGGCGAAACAATCAGGAAAAACCAACAAAACTTGAAAAAAGTGAAAAAAAAACTATAACAAAGCCTACGCTCATCCCACAGATACGGAGCTGGGATAACATATGGCTTAGACATGCCGTTCAATGTGAGCAATTTATAAATGAATATTATGGTGGATGCCTGTCAAGTGCAGTTCTTTCAAATGTTTGCACCTATTGCTGGCCGGTGTTGCCGTTGTGCAGGCACTCATTTCCGGTATGGCACCATTTCATGGCGGCCAACTTTTGTCAAGCCGTTGGAGATAGAGTTCACTTATGTGGGTGCCTACCGCAGAGACTACCACTGGGGCAGAGACTTTGCAGAGGGATGGATGGGTCCTTCGGGTGTGTGGAGGACGAATGCGACACAGACATTCAACGATATCAACCAGGACTACACCAACGGTTGGAAACTGAAGTTCCCGACGGGAATGCTCCAGGTGTGGCAGCCACTGAAGGAAGGGATTATGTGTCCATCTCCATTCGACTCTGGAGTGAAGCCTTTGTGTGGACCTGGGCAGCCAGAGGGGACAATTGTGCCACATCCGCTCGTAGACGGTGAGAACAACCTCATCTACCCGGCTGGTTATCCCTGCAAGAATGCAACGACAAACAAGGAGAAGGCCAGCATCGATTACTGCGCACCTTGGAGTGAGGCATACGGCTTCTTCTTTGGGGATGGTGAGACATGGGACATGGAGCTGACAATTGACGCCGTCAACTTTGAAACGAATCAACTGGGAAACTACCTCCGTGGACACTCCGTGTTTCGTCACAGGTACAAGGCGCCAAAGAACCTGGCCTTCAACACCCCTTGGGTGGCCTACTTCACTGGTGGTAACAGGATCCGGTCCCTCAACAACAATAAGGAAGGGCGGTACAGGCTAGAGACCACCGTCAACATTCAAGGTCCAAATCGGTCCCCCATCGCCACCAACATCCCTGTCCTCCCGGTTCCATATGAGCAGTCTGAGAATGCTACGTTTCAGATTGCCGCATTTGACCCAGATATCGATCCAGACATTTTGGAGACCGAGATACTGCACTTTCGCCTGGGAACACAGCGCGAGATGGGCATGCTCCTGGCCAATGCCAACCCTCGCTTCGACCCAAACCCGAACAGCTCCAGCTTCCGCACGACCTTTGTGTGGTACAACCGGACATACCAGGCCTTGAAGGAGTGGAACATCAGGTACAAGTGTGATGGGAACTGCAGCAATTGTCCCATGTTCTGGAACTGTTCAATGATGCCACCGTGGAACACCGAGGTGAATATGGCGAATTCCCCGCCCAGGATCTCCATTGAAGAGTCAACAGGGATTGTGACATGGGTGACGGGGCAAGGGCCATATGAGATCGGGCAGACCGGAATACTGCCATTGCGGCCTGGATTCTATAACTTGGTGGTGATGATCGGAAGCAACTCTCGAGACACGTCACCCAATGCTACACAACTGGTGGAGGTGCCTCTTGACTTCCTGCTTTATCTGTACCCGAGTATGCGTTACTGTGCCAAAGGATGTCTCAACATGCGTCCTGGGATACATACCTTTCGTGACAAGGGCCTTTACGGACATGCTGACAAACAAAATGACACATATAGCAATGGGACAGCTTGGTTTCCTTATAGGCGCTGGTACTACAACTCTGCTGGAACGGGCAAGTGCACCATCTGTGGGGGTGGGTGGGAGAGAAGGGAGGCAATTGCTAACCACACAGTCTGCCAGCCACCAAATCAGAGGAGTTGCGGAAACAAGGACTGCCCTGGTATATGGCTGGACTCCAAACAGGAGCCTGTTGACAAGGATGAAAATTGCAGGGACAATGGGAATGGGGGTGTGCCTCGGTCTCTGGTACCGTTGAACAGCACATGCAAAATTAATCAGCCCCCAGTGTGGGTGGAGAATGGTACCACAGGACACCCACGTGGAGACACACCACCACAAGGAGTGGTCATCAAGGTGAAAAGGGGAAAGCCTGTCACATTCCAACTTGTCGCGCATGATCCTGACGACTGTACAGAACTGTCAATCGACAGCACTGGGTTGTACCTTGGGACTGATTTCGTATACCCCAACACTGCTCCAGCTGGCATGAGGGGCAACATGGCCAACGAATCCTGGGACATGCAGCTTGAGGAGACCATAAGGGACCCACCTTCCCTGACCATCAGTGGATTCCAGGGAAGGCAGATACGGAGGACATTCACTTGGCCGGCACCCTTCGGCGGTGAGGATGTCGATCCTCGGCCCAACTCGGCGACGGTCTGCTTCTACGCCTTTGACAATTACATCATCAGTAAGTTCCGCTGCATCACCATTCAGGTGCTGGCCAGCAGGCCGGTCATGTGGATGGATCAGCGCGATAATTTGCCTGCAGAGTTTCGAGGCAACACTCCTTTCAACATGACGCAGTTCTATGTCGTTCCAGGAAACACGCTGGTGTTTAGAATGGCAGCAATACAACTGACGGGTCTGAACCCCCTGTTTGTGGAGCTGACTCAAGGAACGCTGCCTGAAGGTGCTACTTTCAACTATGAGAACAGCACTCTGGACGACCCTGTGGCCCGTATATTTATCTGGACACCAAAGCCAGGCCAGGAGTGTGAGTACAGACTCTGCTTCGATGCCAGGAACAGCAACCGACCGGTTCCTGATTGGACCAAGACGGTTCCGCTGGACCCCAAAGTGACCTCCGACGAGCGATGTTACCTGATCCATGTCACAGACACTGTGCTGGACTTTACCGGAGGAGGTTATGTGGATGTTGGCAGGGTGGTCCCCACCCTGAGACCACCTTGTGGAATGAGCATTGGCGGTTGGTTTTATCCCCGAGGTGATGGTGGACCGGAGCAGAACCACACCATGCCACTCCTTACGGCAGGCTACAAGATGCCAGATGAACCTTTCACCATTGTTCATGGGGTTTGGTGGCAGAGGGAAATCCTTAGGACTCACTACTACAGCAATGACAGCGTTGCGTTTAATGTGAGCGATAGGTTCCGGGTGGCCTACTTTGATACCCACGGTAAGAAACTTAGCACACCCATGTTTTGCTACAGGCAGTGGCATTTCATCATGTTGACCATCTCTGCTGCAGGTGAGGTGGTTCTCTATGTGGATGGTGTAGATCAGGCTCGCTATGCAATCAACGACCGGGAATGGCATCAGTACCTGAGACTGACAGATGCGCTGAAGGCGGAAGAGGTCGGAGGATGGATACCCCTAGCAGGGACGGCCTACCAACGCGCTCGTCGACAGGAGAGGAAAACCACACCTCATCTATTTATCGGTTCCACCCCCGATGTTGCCTTTGATGGGCTAATTGACGAGGTGAGAGTATTTGCAAGGGCCTTGTCAGCTGAGGAGGTTCGCCGTCAGATGTTCCAGGCCCTAGATCCCCCAAAGGAAGTCAATCTCACAGGCTACTACAAGTTCAATGATGGCTCCCAAGGTCTCCACAGCTTTAATGTCTATCCTAAGACGGTCCTTGTGATCAACGACACTGGTGCTGAAAATGTCACCTACAAGGAGCCGTACCATGGAGAGATGGATGCTCGACTCTTCCCTTTGACAGACTACTCGGGCAAAGGCAATGTTGGTACACTCTCCATCGTGGGGAACTTGTCATATGAGTTTGTGACAACGCCCATGTCTCCCAGCTGCACAGGAGATCTGGTGCCCTATATTGCCCACCTCCAAGGTGGCACCAACATCACCGTGCGGGGAGCGAACTTCGCAGAGAGCCAGTGGCTGAAGTGCTTCTTCAATGGGAAGCCAGTTCCTGCAAAGTTTATCAACCGGACTGCAATATCATGCAAGGCTCCTCCTCTGGACTATCCCTGCTCCGTTGCTGTGGAAACGGCGAACAACCACAATGTTACCAATAGCACCATTGCGCTGTACTACCTCGACACTGCTCTGGTGCTCAATGGAGAGGATGAGTACCTTGCTGTCGGATTGATTGACGCGAACACCTCCACAGTGGGCGATGGTGTATACGATAACCTGGAAGCAGTTACAGATGGTTACTCGATCGGGATGTGGGTGTGGCCATCAGGAGAAATGGGACAAGATGACAGAATTGTCTTCATGCTAACCTCGTATGTTCCCACTGCAACTGTAATCTCCCCATTCTTTGGCCGGTCTTTGCTTGAAGATGGGGCTCCACCAGAAGTCCCTCCGTTTGCAACCTTAATCGGTGTTTACTATGATCCAGCCGAGAATGTTTTTGAGTACTCAGACCGCAAGAATGAGTCATTTGCAGCATCAGCCAGGGGCAAGATCGTTGCCGATCCTGACATGTGGCACTATGTGATGCTGACCGTTACTTCTGAACGACTCGCCCGGCTGTATGTGGATGGAGAGCTGGATGCTGAATTCTATTCCGCCCTCCTCCCAGTGGACCTAGGCCCCAATGGGCAGTTCCACGTCGGAGGATCCCACATCTACTATGAGGACCTGGATGGCCCAGACGTCGAGGGTCTGGCTCCGACATCCCTGCCTCTGCCTGCAGCTTTCAGTTTCGTAATTGGTGCGACATCCACAACAACGACCACGGGGGCAACCAACACTGACTCCTCTTCATCAAAATCAATGGCTCTTAGTGCCAGACATTCTCGGCAGGGGAGGTCATCGATCACAACATCATCATCAGACTTGAACATGATGATGCTGGGAATGGCGGAGGCTCCAGAGTCTTCAAGTCCGTTTGAACCACTGGGAAAGAAAGAACACTTAGGGAGAGGACGCGAAGCTTGGAGCAGTACGCACCACCACTATTATCGCCACACTCGAAAGGCGGAAAGATCCCTTCTGGCAATAGGACCATTCGGTGAGGGGATGAACTTCGCTGGAATGTTCAAAGACATAACTGTATGGTCAAGGAACTTGACAGCATGTGAGGTGGTACAGGTCATGCGCGAAGGGTCCCTCCAGCGGCGAGATCTACTGCCCACAGGAGCCAGCCTTCAAGTAAATCCAGAGGATAATCTTGTAGCACGCTACAGACTGAACCACATCGACGGATTGCAAGTCCATGATTCCTCTGGCCATGATAATCATGGCATGGTCGTCAGCAACACAGCACAACGCTTGCCATTGCCAGTTTGGAAACACACAACCCTCCCTTTCTATCCTCCTTGCATTGGCAGGGCAGTCCAGCGGCGTAGAGACTGTGCCTCCACGAAAGTATACATGGAAGGACCCGGAACTCAGGAACCTTGGACTCTTCCAAATGTCTGCACAGGATTTTACAGCAACCTTCGCACAGGAATCGTAAGTCTCGATGGCTATGAGAACACGACCATCAGTGGGTTCGGATTTGCCAACAGCCCGTGGCTGCATTGTGTATTAGAGGGCACCCTCATCCCCGCAAGATTTCTGTCCTTTGCAGATGTGGAATGCAATGTGCCGGCGCTGCCTCGAGTCGGGCGCTATTCTCTGGGAGTGGCAAACATGGGATTGGAGCGTCCTGGCAATCCTATTAGGCTGAGCTTGGGAAAGGACTGGGAGAGCATGACGACAGATGAAAGAGGAATTGCTTTGGCCTCTTACCTCTGGAAAGGGAAGCAAGAAATCGCTGATTCGTGCAACAAGTCCCTCACCATTTTGCCAACAGAAAGTAATAGCCCTACCGGAAATTCTGCCTCCAACTCAACTCTTATTCCTTCTGCGTCAGCTCCGGCTATGGAAGTTTTCTACCCAGAAAGGAAGCTCACGGCGTTGGAGATGGCTCCATTTTATGATGGCATAGCCACTTTCTTCGAGTCCGAGCAAACAAACGATTTAGTGGCCAAGCAAGACTTCAGGGGAATGACTTTCGGTGCTTGGTTCTTCCCAATTGCGACTGACAACTGCTCTGAGCAGCCCATCATGTGCTTCACCTCAGAGTGCACTCCTTACTGGAATGGCGCTGACTGGGCTGTAGAATCTGAAATGGAGCTATGCTTGATGACTCGTGGTGACCGAGTTTACCTCTACAGTGATAAAGTGGACAGATACGGGAGCTTTGTGTTCAACGAGACATTAGCTCAGCATGTTGATGTGCAATCATGGCACCATGCGGAGGTTTCGATTGAGGCAATCGATATTGAGCCGCCGCCATTTGGCGCTTATGGCAGAGATGACCTTTTGGTCCTCAAGACTTCACTCAAAGTGGACGGAAAGATCGTTGACGGCTACCCTTATGACATTCGGGTACCTGGCCTGCCAAACAAGAATGGTAGCTTCTTTGTTGGGGGTGTCCGCTGCACGCTCCCATCCTACGTTTCAGTCAATGCCTCAGACATTCCTGATTACTTCCGTCCCGTTCCTGATTACAATCCAGATGCTCCCTGCAATCCGGAAAGGGACGACCAGAAGTTCTTCCGGGGATACATCGATGAAGTTTATGTGTACACAAAGACATCCGGCATGTTCGTCGATCCGCCGTTCTCCCGGATCCTTAACCATACTGATGACCTGGTCTATTTCCGGTTCAATCCTCGGCAAGGTCGAACTGTGAGTGACACGGTTTTTGTTCCCAAGGTGTTTGCCTTCCCTGCAGCTGACAGGCCTTCTGTGTTGGGATACATGAAAACAGTCGGGCATGATCAGACATTCCCTGCACCTGTAGAGAATGCAACACTGGAGTACATAACGGCTCCCTGGGAGCCTGCTGTAATTGATGAAGATCAGCGGCCTTCCACGTCACTCGATGGGGGACCTGTTCTAATTAAAGGGCTAAACTTTGCCAGGAGCGAGTGGCTGAGGTGCACGTATTCTACAGTGGAGCTGAATGCTGAGCACAACCAGGTCATGCTGACACATCCTCCTCGGTTCTCCCCAGCCACGCCCAAGGTGCTGCACCGGAACAGGACCTACCTTGGCCCTGCACATTACATGTCCAGTCGAACTGGTTTTAGCATCTTTGAGGCTTTCTGCAATGCCAGCGGTGCAGACCTACCTGGGGTTGCCGCAGTCCAATTGGTAAATCCGAGGGCGATGCCCACCACAGCCGAGGTGCTATTCAGAGAGCGTGCTCTCTCCTTGGGGGGAGATGTGCCTACTGCTGTCAAGATTGTAGGGGATACAGTGGATGAGCCTCAGGTGGTTAAATTGGAATGCCCGGCAGGAATGCGGTTCGAGGAGGTGGTCTTTGCTAGCTTTGGCCGGCCCCACGGGCGCTGTGCCACCCAGAAGGCGTACTGCTGTGATGGGAGGGATTGCTCCCCCCCTTGTGATACCAGCAATCTTCAGATCAACGAGAAGTGCCACAGTGATAATGACAGGCCAGAGAACTTCACGAAGAATATTGTAACTGACCTGTGCATTGGTCGTTCAGCGTGCGAGATTCAAGCCTCTGTTTCACTATTTGGCAGCCCCTGCAAGATCCATCACAAGTGGTTGTCGGTGGTGCTGCTGTGTTCTGACCAGTGGTCAACGAAAGACTTTGTGATTGCCAACAATGTGACAACAAAGTTGGCTGGGAGCAATGCGTATTCATTCGGTGCTTGGGTGCTTCCCCGCAGCAAGGAGGGTTCCCAAGCTATCATCTCCTTTGGATCTCTTTGGTCTCCTCAACCTAATCGAGCACTACTTCAGTGGCGTGGCCTCACTGCGCACACAGGTGTCTTCTACTACTACGATGACCTGATAAACGATGTGGTGATGAAGCACCAGGACATTGGGGAGGACCTGGTCTTGGCAATGGACCAGTGGTACAATGTCTTTGTGACTATTGATGAGGACAATGAGGGACGCATGTATGTTAATGGATTTGAAGTTGCACAGTTCTCAACCCGCTCCAGGCCAGACACTTCGAACATCACTGGCACCTTTATCATTGGGATGGACCTTGACGAAAGACTCCATCCAAACGAGTACTTTGCCGGTCTGCTAGATGAGGTACAGATCTACAACCGCTCTCTGTCACAGGACGAGGTTATCATGTTCATGTGCCACACTCGGAAGATCAGGGGAGAGCTGCATGAGGGCACACAAGGCCTGGTCTCCTACTTCAGATTCAATCTAGATGATCCTCTGATGGCCGAGACGGTGATTGATGACATGAACCCCATGGACAAGTACACACTTGCAAGGTCGACAGAGACGCAGTGGAATCCACTGCTTATGTCCTTCTTGATGAGCAACGTAACACGGCCAGTGATCCATACTGAGTATGAATACATTGGGGCCCCGTGGTTTCCAAGTGTGATGATGTCCATCGACAAGGTTAAGGGTCCGCTGCTGCCAGGGAGGAAGATTGTAGTCACAGGCGTGAACTTCGCTCCCAGGTCCACACAGGTGTTCATCAATGGGACAAGGCATCTCGATTGGACGTACATCAATGACACCAACTTGGAGATAATGACAGTCACAGGCGTGGGAGGAAGTCACATCGAGATACAACTATCCAATGGAAATGTGGGAGCGTGCAATGGCGTGTCCATAGGTTCTGCTAAGTACACACGGGAACCAGGGATGGAGGATCTGGTGCAGGGGTACTGTGCATATTATCCTCTGGATGGAGGAGTTGCTGAGGATACCAGTGGCTATGGCCGCCATGGACGTGTGATGGGTGGGCGGCCAACCGAAAACCGAGATGGGTTGAGGGATCAAGCCATGCACTTTGCACCTGGGCAATACGCTGAGATACCTATCTGTGCACCAGGCACAGGCATGACTGTCGCTCGGCCAGGACTTACTATCACGGGCTGGTTCTTCTTTGACGACTTCCCTTTCCCAGAATACCAAGGTTGTGATGGCCATGGCATTGCCGCTCTGCATGGATGCCAGCTGGAGGAGGAGGGCTATGTTCTCCGGGACGCATGGAAACACGTTGCTCTGGCCGTCACGGACTTAGAAACGAGCCAAGGAACCATCTATGTGAATGGGAGGGAGTTAGCTTCTGCTTCACGCACTGATTATGCAGCTCCTCTCCTGAAAATTCTCAATGGCACGATTGGTGGTGGCGAGTTCTCTGGGAAGATCGATGATATCCGGATCTATTCACGGCTTCTCGATCCCATGGAGATTATGGCCATGTACAGAACACAGGAGTATGCGCTGGAGTTTGAGCCCGGTGAGAATCGTACAGGTCATGGTGCTGTCATAGTTGCGCGACATGTAGATATTCCAGCAGGCATGCGAGGCTTGGTTGCAGTTTTTGCTGATGAAACAGGGAAGTCCGTCACAAACATTGTGCCCACGGTGGACAACAACTTTGGCTTGGCTTCCCCCTTCGAGGTTCTCAGCAGTGATGGATGGTCGGTTCGCTTCACTGGTTTTGTATTTGCACCTTACACTGCCGATTATGTGTTCATTCTTCGGGCGGATGATAGTGTCCAACTCTCAGTAGGTGACAAACTGCTCATCAATGACACGGAGTACAGTGGCAGTGAAAGGAAGGAGCGGGGCAAGATCCACCTGGACAAGGGGAAATGGTACCCCATCAGCCTCAATTACACAGACAAGCTGAGTGGCTCCTCATATCGCCTGCAGTGGAGGACAACCAATGGGAGGATCCCGCTGCAGGTCGTCCCCCAACGGTACCTGCGTTCAGGAAAGGGGCCCTTCATGGTTGAAGTCTGGGTGTACCCCTATACGGTGGATGGAAAGCACACAGTTGTGGGGAAAACACTGGACAATGGTGCAAGTGGCCTAGCCATTGGCATAGAAGATGGTGCTGTCAGTGTCGGTGTGTATGTTGGCTGTGAATGTGCAAGTGCCAACCCTCTGCACAAGTGTCTGTCCTACCGTCAAGCACGGGTTGGGAAAGCTGCCATTGTCCCACATAAGTGGCAGTTGATCGGGGCAGGCTACAGTGGTGACAAGTGGGAGGTGTATGTAGATGGGTGGCTGAGAGACACAATAAAGTACGACACCACAGAGTACTTCGTCGAAAGCAGCCAGCCACTGCTTCTGGGAGTGGAGTCCCTTGTCCCTGGTGAGGAGCAAAAGCCGTGGACCGGCAAGGCGGGAACATGGCCGTTCCATGGTCTGATCGATTCAGTTGTCGTCTACAGCCGTGCAGGCTTCAGTCAGACCAAGATTGTGAAGGATGCAGAATGCTTCTTTGACGTTGGCCCGCCAGAGTACCTAGCTGCCCACCTTATGCTGAATGAGGGTATTGGACGTAAAGTTCATCAGCTTGCTCTCTATGACAGCGAAAACCCGGACATTCCCAGCCTTTATGGGGATGGCACTCTGGTATGGATACCCGACCCAGATGCAGGTGAAAGTGAGGGAACATATGGCAGTCGCAGTGGCTGGAAGAAAGGAGGAGAGCTTCCCTGGCCGCGATGGGCAAACTCCACAGGGACGGAGTACAAAGCAGATCTTGGCAAGTCCCTTGTTTCTGGAATGGGACTGAAGGACTCTGTAGCTGGTGAGTGCGGTGTATTCTCCATTACTTCCCGTGATATCTGTGGCGCTCAGCTCAACTTTGGAGGAGACAACTGGACGGTGGGCGTTTTCGGACCTCTTCATCTCAGCACGGAGGAGGTGGTACTGGTGGTTGGCAATGGCATTGTGGATCACGGCGATGGCACGTACACGGCTACTTATCGGGTGCAACGAAGTGGCGACTACTTCATCAGGGTGTTCCTTAATGGAGAGGAGAAATTGGGAACAAAAGCCCACGTTCATCCTGGCAAAACGGCCGCATCAAAATCTTATCTTTTCGGCTTCTTGCAAGACACGCAGAACCTGGATGAGCTCCGTGACTCGCTGGTGGGAGCCCTGGTCGCGTTCAAGGTGCAAACGGTCGACCGATATGGAAATCTACGGTTTACAGGAGGGGACAAGGAATGGGCCTTCTTCTTCAGTGGGCCCTACTCCTTCCATGGCAATGTGACTGACCTGGACAACGGTCAGTACCAGATCGACTACGTAGCAAGGGCAGCTGGGAAGTACCAGATGTTTGCATCTGTCTGCGGACAGCCCATCTGCACATATGGGGGTGCGACGTGTATGGAGGGTGCCTGGTCAGCCCGTAGCTACTGTACGATTGATGCAAAAGTCCCTTCACCCCTCAACAGCGACAAATGCCCATTCTGTATCACAGTGAGGGAAGGCGGCTCCCTAAGCCTGCAACCAGATAGCGTCTGGGCTACATTCCCCGATGGAAACCATTTAGACCTGTCTAAACACTTCACTCTAGAGGCTTGGATTTGGAAGCCTCGATCTGAAGACTACTACATCGAAGGCGTATCTCAATTTGGAATTGCTCCCATCCAGACCAACATCACTGGCGGCAGGCAGTACGTCCTGTCAAAACAATCCGAGCACTCAGGGAAGGGATGGTGGTTGGCTCTCCTTCCGCTTGAGCCTGCTGGCCAGAACAACTACAGTGTTGAGGCAGGCGTTTATGTGGGATCAGAAGCTTTCCGCATTCTGCGGACAGAAGGAATGAAGTTGGAGCACTGGCACCATTTGGCCGTGACCTACGACGGAATCAATCTGCGTATCTTCATCGACAGTAACCTGACTTCTGTGCTCTCGTTGAAAGACAAGCCGCCGCAGTATCCACGACGCAACAGACAGCCAGTGCGGGTGGGAAAAGAGTTTGATGGGCTGATTGATGAGGTGAAGATATTTGATATTGCGAAGTCGGAGGAAGAGATTGCTGGGCCAGGTGCTTTCTGTCCGTCACACATTCCGGAGGTTGGTAAGGGCACCCAGAATCTCGTTGCCTACTATCGGTTCAGCGACAGGGCGTCAACATTTGCTCGGGATTCCAGCGCATGGGAAAACAATGGCTATATAGGACTTGTATGTGACACGGCCGACGAAGACAGGAATGTCACCCTCACCTGTCCACCTCGTTATCGAATCGGGTCCATTCTCTTTGCCAGCTTTGGGCACATTGATGGCACATGTGGAAGCTATGAAGTGGTGGATGGATGTGGCTCACCATATGTACGTGAGGTGATGGAGAACCTTTGCCTTGGGCGTGAATCCTGCACCATGGTGGCAAACAGGACACTGTTTGGGAGACCTTGTCGAGGAGCGACGCTGACACTTGCTATCAGCGCATTGTGCGACGTGTTCCAGCCTTCAGAACCCTACCAACGGAACAATGCACCCAGCAAAGTGGGTGTCGCGGATGCAAGTAGCACAAGCAGCCCCATGTGTGTCGGTAACATGTGGTACCTCCTTCCAGATCAGATGCGTGGTGAGATTAACTACAGTCCAGACTGTGCACAATTCAGCATGACCGAGGCAATTGTTGGTCAGGGAAAGAGCTTTGCCCTTACGGCCGTTGATGCTTGTGGTCTGAATCGGACGATAGGCATGCAGCAGTTCTCCATGTTGATGCAATTTGACGGGTATGTGGAGTTCTTCCCCGCTGAGAATCCCACTGCCGACAGGGTTGAGATGTCCACCTGTTACCCAAGGGTGTCTCCACCGATGGATCTTGACACGATCAAACGGACATGGGGTGGTGCTTTTGGGGACGATTGTGACCAGTACAAGCATCTGTATGTCTTTGAGTATATGCCGACTCGCCCTGGCACTGGGAAGATTGTTGTAGGGGTGGAGGATGCAACCATTTACTCTGGGTACTTTGTCGTGGTTCCCGGACCCATCTCTGGAAGCAGCCTGATTGATGGGCCAGGGCTATCTGATGCTTGGGGGGGAATTCAAACAACCTTCAATGTCATTGCCCGGGATAGATTCGCCAACCTTGTCAAGTCCAATAAGGATATGTATCGGCTAACGGTAGCTGTTGCAGGGAGGAAAGCAGTGCGCATGTCATCTGCACTCAGGCAAGGGGAGCCAGGCAAGCTCGACGTCTTCATCACCTATCCATCCGAAAACAACTACACAGTGGAAGTGCAGCTGGACAATGTTACCTTCTTCTCCCACCTCGTGGCCGTCTCGAAGCCCATGTTCCCCCAGCACAAGGTGACGGCGCTGGCAGAGGCAGGGCCCAGCACAAGGCCAGGCACAAGGTTTGAGCACTCTGGTGCAGCATACAAAGATAGCCTCTACATTTTTGGGGGTGCCAAGCATGACAAGAGTTACATTGGGGAGACATGGAAGCTTGATGTCGGGCTAGTAACTCCTCATCTCCCGACATCGCAGCAGCTGCAGCAAGAGGATAAACTGTCTCGTAGTATTCTTGACGATGAGGACAAGGGGCACTTCTCATTCAGGGTCCCAATTGAGGTGACAGGTCATAACATCAACAACTACACAGTTGAGGTTGTTGTGGACACCTCCTCTCTTGTTCTCAGTGGCATGATGCGTCCGGATTGTTGGGATGTCATGTTCGCAACATGGGAGGGTGAGGCACTGCAGTTCTGGGTGGACCCGGTGCCTGGCTGCAACTCCACTCATTCCATCTTTTGGGTCCGCATACCATCTGAGGGAACCTACTATCTATATTTCGGGAATGCTCGGATCACATCCCCTCCTGTGTCGAACTCCTCCATCTTTGACTTCTTCGAGGATTTTGAAGATTACAATTCAGGCTCACCCTTCCGCCGTTTTGTGTTCAACGACAGCAGCAGCAGCACTCACTTGACCACGACTGGCAACGACAACAGCAGCAATCCCATGGTAGTGGAGTCTCTGAAGGACGCATGGGTGTTGGACGAGGTAAGCACGGACACATGTTCTGGTCCCGATTTCCAACGAGGAGCAGAGAGTTCCTTCAAGATAGTTGACAGCATTGCTGTTTCTGGTACCCATAGTCTTCTTGTGGACACGCGCAAGGAGATTGGTGGGTCCATCAGCCGGAAAGTGACAAAGGCACTGACCAATAGCAGCAGATTCATACTCAAAGGGTTCTTCTACGATGGACTTTGTCCTGACGCAAGTCACTGGATCTCACCTGACTTTGATCAATGCGAGTCTACCCAAGAGGATAAGAAGACCCTCCTGCCCGTGCGCAATGGGGTGGGCGTGCATACAGCTTCCACTCACCAGCGATATGCATCTATGTACCCTTGGAAAGGCACAAGTGCAAATAGGACGGTTGGCTGGCATAGCTTTGCCATCTATGGTGGTGATGAGGTCTTAAAGATGTTTGTGGATGGAATGCATGTTGCAAGGGAGAGCGAGCGCACAACCACTCTGAGCAAGATCTTCCTCCGTGGTGGTGCCTTTGCGTATGACAAGGAGGAGGGCAATGGCTACTGGGATGCTATCTTCGTGCTCCCGTACGACTCGTCAGTCACGGCAAAAGCCTACGTCTCCAAAACGGAGCCGGTGCTGTGGAACCCCTCAAGGACCGGATGGACTCAGATTGTGCCAACTGGGCCAACCACTAGCCATCCACCAGCGAGGCAGGGTCATAGTGCTGTAGTCTACGATGATAAGATGTGGATCTTCGGAGGCGAAAGGAGTGCCTATATCTATAACGACCTGTGGTCCTTCTCTTTCCAGGATGAGGTATGGACCTTCTCCCCTGCGTTGAATGAGCCCCCACCCCCTCGGCATGACCACTCTGCAGCTGTCTACAGGGATGCAATGTTTATTCTCGGTGGTCGATCCCCTTTGCCTTTGAGCGACTTCTGGATGTACTCCTTCACCAACAGAACCTGGTCAAAATTGGAGGATGCAATCTATGGTCTGGGGAGGTTGTTCGGGCACACAACTGTTGTCAGCGGTAATATCATGTATGTCTATGGAGGCTACATCCACGACTTGGGTGAGCTTTCCAATGGCCTGTGGGAATACAAATTCCTTAGCGGGCGGTGGATCAAGCTCGGACCGAGAACAGACGCAGATGCAAGGAACAACTCCATGGTATTTGAGCCTGATCCTTCTGAAGCCATCGTTTTCCCAGCAGAGATCCCTGTCCCACGATTTGCTCACCAGGCAACAGTTCGATGTGCTCCCGAGCGTGGAAACCTGGGAGGGGAACCAAGTTGTGCCATGTACATTTTTGGGGGAGCAGGTGGGCCGTCCATGATGGAAAGCCTCGGAGATATATGGAAGTTCATATTCGCGGATAAAAAATGGATAAAGCTGGGGAATGTAGGCCCCACACTGGCCAGATATGATGCTGCAGGTGGAATTGTTGGTGATTATTGGCTAAACTTCGGAGGTGTGGGAGAGCAGGGAATCACATTCGATGAGGTGCAGGCCATCTTCGTTGGTGATGGGGGTCTGTGATCCAGTGTGCCAGAGATGGTGTGGTGTTGTACTTGTCATGTTTTCCTTTGGTTGTCATTCCACATGAAAGCCATGGGCTTGTGATCCCATGGAAAAGAGGATGGGGGGGTAAAAAGCGTGTCGCAATCTATCTGACGTCTGCTGGTTTCCGGTCCCTGGTGAGGGAAACATTTCATCATCCTGCATCCAGTTTGCAGATGTTTTCGCCTTGCGAATTGGCTGGCACGAACGTGACACCGCCGTTGTACTTTTATGGTAGATTGATTGGAAAAGGAAGTCAGTAATGTACAAAATACAATACAAATAGAGAGACAGGCGGATGTTGAAGGAATCAACACCAGGGAGAGAGCATCAGGTAAGCAGCCAGAGGGAAGGGAAAGTGGGAGGGAGGAAGCGAGAGAAGGGGGTGATGGAGGGAGAGAGGGAGGGAGGAAAGGAAAGAAGGGTGCGATAGAGGGAGAGAGGGAGGGAGGAGGAGAGAGGAAGGGCACTAGGAGAAAGGAAGAACTGAGGGAACATCTGAGAGAGGAACCGAGGGATGGAGGGGTAGAGGGATGGAGTGATGGGGTGATGGAGGAAGGAAAGATGGGGGCCCAGGACAGGAACAAAGAATGACGAGGAAGGAAAGGCGGACGGATGAACCGACGGAAGGAAAGAAGAAACGAAGGAAATGGAGGAATTAAGGAACACAAGAGCGAAGGGAGTAAGGAAAGAAGGAAGGAAGGAAGGACAGAAGGATGGAAGGAGGAGATGGAAAGAAAAGGGGAAGGAGGGAGGTCGGGAGGAAATGGGGAACAGGAGCACAGGAGAATACAAGAACCGGGAGATGGGAGTTGAAGAGGGCACTCCTTTGGTCTCTATGGATAATGGACCCCAAAGGTGAAGTGGGAAGACAAAGGGACGATGGATGAAAGAGGCAGAGTCGAAACTTTAAGAACGGACGGAGGGAGGGAGGGAGGGAGGGAGGGAGGGAGGAGGCAAGGGGGAGGTAAGTCAGCGATTCAGAACATCTTATGTCAGGAAGTGGTGGTTGGTGTAAGAAGGAGTGAGAAGCTGGCAACTGCAGATCAGTGATCCCATATATTATTAGATGTGCACAGCTCAAGCAGAAAAGGAGGTCAGCTTTTGGCACTGGCCGACCTGGCAGGGCAACGTCTCCAGGACCTGCCTGACCCGTCAAGAATATGTTTTCTTGGCTTCTGATGGGTTCAGTTTGGCTGTTGGAGTCACCTTTGATGGTCAGCAAGCAGGCAGGGAAAGCTTGGACAATGTGCACCTGATTAACTAGCACGGTTCCTATATGATAATTTTTTCCAAATCGTGCCATTTCTTGCGATCATAGCGGACATTGCTTCCAGTCGCCAAGGAATACTAACTGAGGTTTGGTAACTTGCAGCTGTGGCGCATGACTATCGGTGGCAGAGCCGCAACTGGACGGCATGAATTCGGGTTATGGGGCAGAAATGGCATCCAGAAGCTTGGCCTACTGGAGGAGCTATGCATGCTTGGATTTGATTTGCTCCTTTTCAAGCACTTCAGAGGAGATTGTGAACTCCTGAGGATTCCATATTTCATCTGTGGGATCATTAGCAAGATGACCTGACTTTAGGATACTGGGCATGAGACTTCAAGGAGGTGCTTTTACTACAGGGTTCTGCAGTGGTCCTCTGTCACATAGGACAGGCACTTGGAAAGGAATGCAGGGAGATTGCCAGCCTTGTTTCCGTTCCCCGCCCCACGCTGTGAACCCGCTTGACTAAGGCTTCTGGAATATGTGAATCTGCTTCATCTGCCGAACGAAGGCTGAGCAAGTCACAGTCATGTAAAGCTGTGAATATTTTATTGCTTCAATTCAGTAGTTCACTGCGACCGAATGAGATATCCACAGAGAATCGATGAGTTGCTGCAGCAGAGCCATGGGGTGAAGTGTCACCATCTGGGGAAATGTGGAACTGCCCTTTTGACCCTGAACTTGAACCTGAAGACCAAATGGCATGCCCAGGTTTTGAGTGGATTGGGCCATTTCAAGCAGCCGTTTAAGAGTTTGAATTCCAAAAGGTTGGCATGTGTAACCCTTCCCATTCAGTTCCAAGTCCCAACGATAGTATATGTAATGCCTGTGAAGGTTATGACAATGTCTCAGATGCTCAAGACAGGACATACCTGGAGGTTATTGACGTTCAAATGGTATATGCACATGCAGGTACATTGTCATTGTGATATATATGGCATTGCCATGAGCTTTAGGGCACACCAAGATATTCGCCTCCCTTCCGAACCAACAGAAAAGGCTCTTTAGGGTGTCCTTAATTGGATGCGGAAACCCGAAGGAGCATATGCAAATCACATGGCTGACACAACCATACAATGGCTCGAGCAAGGAGCGTGAAGTGTTGGATCAGATTTGGGAGTGTAGCAAGCAAGCACAGCAACCATTAGCTTTTTAGATGTTTGACAAGCTTAAGGTAGCTTCCTCCGCCGTCCATTCGTTTTGCCTGAAGAGTAGTTTGTCTGTCAGAGATGAGAGAGAGAGAGAGAGAGAGAGAGAGAGAGAGAGAGAGAGAGAGAGAGAGAGAGAGAGAGAGAGAGAGAGAGAGAGAGAGAGAGAGA